ACAACGCTTTCCATGTTCAGCTACTGAAACCCTACAAGGACCCCAACCAACAGTTCCAGGGACGGCAGCTACCGCCACCTCCACCTGTACTTGTGCAGGATGAACCAGAGTACGAGATCGAGCGTGTTCTCACTCATCGGCGCCGCGGCGGCAAGACCCTCGAGTTCCTGATCCGCTGGAAGGGATATGACCCCACTGAGGACAGTTGGGTTGCAGAAGCTGATATGGGCAACGCACGCCGTGCTCTCAAGGACTATCTTGTCAAGCAGGGTGTATCTCACGCCACCCAGCTTTGAGGGGGGGACGTGTGAGAGTACGACGGCTTATGCTTGTTATTCATGCTTGCTATTATTTCCTTACGCTATTTCTAGCTTAGGTTTATTTTATGCATGCATGAATTGCTTGATTCCTAGGTTCGTTGCTTTACTATAGTTATTATAGTTATAGGCACCGAACCAGGTTACGTGTACCAAACTCAAGCTATTCGGTTGCCACCGAATTGCTTTCTACCGAGTTCGGGAAGGTTCTGTTCGGGACGCTTCGCGACCCTCGGAACCTTCGCGTAACACCTGGTTACTGGCCCTTGTGTCGAGCCTATATATAGCCTCGTGTTGTACCCAGGTGATCATTCAATTCAAATCATCTCTTCTGAGCTCGTTCCTAGATCCTCACACCCGCTTACCGGCTGCTGCGTGAACTCCTTATCCAGGAGGTCCACGATTCTAACCTTTCCGGACACTTCGGGGTTGATAAAACCCAGAAATTGTTGCACCGTCAATATTATTGGCCCGATTCTACTAACGATGTGTGTCCTCATGCAGGGTGTGCCAAGCCATGAAATCGACACGCCAGCGGCCAGCTGGATTGCTGCAACCCCTCGAGCCACCCGAACGACCGTGGCAACAGGTGACGATGGATTTCGTCACGGGGCTGCCAGCTGGGCCATCCGGGAACGACGCTATACTCGTCGTCGTCGATCGCCTTACAAAAATGGCGCACTTCGCACCATGTCGTACCTCAATCACAGCCGAAGAAACTGCGCGCCTCTTCATCTCGACCGTCGTGCGACTGCACGGAATCCCATCGGCGATCATCAGCGACAGGGACCCGAAGTTCACGTCGAAATTTTGGAAGGCAGGAGACATGGGCACAGTACGGCACGAAGCTGCAATTCTCATCGGCATACCACCCTCAAACGGACGGCCAGACCGAGCGCACCAATCAGACTATGGAGCAGCTGATCAGGACAAATTGCTCCGACCCCGCTCGCTGGGAACATTCGCTCGCCATGCTGGAATTCGCGTTCAACAACGCTCCGTCCAGCACGACTAATCACTCCCCGTTCTTCTTAAATTATGGGATGGACCCGACAGTGCCTACAACGACTATGCTCGACAATCCGGTCCCGCGGTCACAAATGTTTGTGACGGAACTACAACAAGTTCGCGAGAAGGCTGCGGACGCAATTCGCAAGGCGAATACCACTTCCCGCAAATACACCGACCTTTTACGACGGGAACTCGTCTTGGCAGCTGGGCAACTAGTACTACTGGACACGAAGAACCTGCACCTGCCCGGCCCATCGAAACTACGGCCACGATTTTGTGGGCCCTTCAAAATCATTAGGATGGTGACACCTGTCACCGCGAAGCTGCTGCTACCTGACGATTGGCGTATACATGACGCCTTCCATGTCAGCCTCCTTCGCAAGTTCGTGCCTGCCACGACAGACATGGCGCGCCAGAACGCCGCCTCGACAGCCCGACCTGTCCCATAACCGACACTTGACCCGTCCAAGATCTTGGCGCATCGTGTTCGGCTTGTCGCTTCTGGACGCCACGCGGATTTTTTAATCCGTTGGACTGACCGCACCAGTGAGGACGACACATGGGTGCCATCCGCCTCGCTTGAAGCTTCTCCGCTTCTTGGACATTACCTCGCCCGCAAGCGAGCGGCGGATATTGACCACCTTTCTTGAGGGGGGGGTAGTGTAAGGAAAAACCCTTTTCCTTACTGGGGTTTACTCAACCGCGTACAACCCCAACTTTCGGAAGTGCACGTTCGGCCACTTTGCTTGCTGTCGAAGCAATATCGCGTCGCCTTCGACTTTCCCTTGCCCAACCTGCACCTAACATCGCGTTCCCGAGGTTCCCGCCTAGCTAGGTTGACCCGCTATATACCGGTAATCGCATGCGTTCTCATTGTATGATCAGTTCATTGAGTTACAGCCTCGTTATTCCTTATTCCGCGCAGCTCTGTTTGACAACTCATAAGGGCGTGGAACATTTTTACGACCACGCCGATTTATCGACCGTATGGTTGGATCTGGAGAAAGCGAAAGATGTAACAGAGTTGCGAAGGCTGCGAAATTTCTAAGCTATACTGCTCGCCAGCACGCGGGGCACCCAATAGAAACCACCCTCACTAAGCAGAAACATTTGTTCCCACTTTAAGCATTCGAAAGGGGTGTGGGATATTGGGGAAGGCGAGAAATGCGTAGAATGTGAGGCAAACACAATTGAGAGTAAGTACTGGAAGTCAAATAATGTACCCCTTTAAATAAGTAAGTGTGAAGAGAAGCTCTAAATCCTTACGAGGGATCCAAATGATTTTCGGTCAATCCAGGGTAACTACTATGCAGGCCAGTCAATGGGGTTTCCGTAAAACCGGAGGTCCAAGACTCACAAAGTTAGGAAGGTTGGTTGGGCCAGGAAACGCCACTGGCTCGCGAACCTGGTTGTGTATCGAAATCGGCGGACTGGGGTCGCGAAGAGAAAACAATTCGCGAGTATAACCAGATCTGATATGCAACGTCAGACTTCGTTCGCAACTAGTTTCGGACAGGCTCTAAATTTGTTTGCGAATTTTCGCTGCATTCGTCAGAGCTCGAACAATAATTTCGCGTGACAAAATTTGTCCCCCGTTTTGCGAACTGAGTTGGTACCTACTGGGTCACACCTTCCCAAAGTTAGGAAGGTTAAGGCACTTTGGGTCTGTTTGGGACTCCGGTTTTAAATTATTCGCAATCGCCAGAAACAACCATCGTTCCGACCATTTGGCGTGGTCGTAAAAATGTTCCACGCCCTAACAGCAATCAACTTCTGCTCTGCGTGCGGAAAACACCAAAACTGCCTTCACTAGAATCTGTGCTTGCTTTCCATCTCCACCCCGCCGTCCTTGTCGCTCCTCGGAATCCCCACCTCGTCAAACTGGGCTCGTCCGCGGCAGCGCGGGTGGCGGCACGGCATCACCAACCCCATAGTCACACTCACGAGCACGAGCACAGTCACTGTCACAATCGCGCTTACGGGCATCGGCATCGCCAGCAGCCCGCGCGTGCCGGCGCGCTGGGGGCGTCTTTGACGGCGAAGCCGCCGCACGTGCTGTCCGCGTGTGCCGCCGTTGTGCTGCCCGCCGTGCTGCTCCTGCAGCTGCTCGGCTTCGCAGGTGCGCTCGAACGCCTCGCCTCGCCTGTTGGAGCAAAATGGGGGCGAGTTGCTTGTACGCGAGTTCAAGGCGGCGACGACGGGTGGTGGGACTTGAGCCGTGGGGTTATGGCGGTGGTGGGTTGATGGGTCGGAGCGAAGGAAATTAGGGTTAGCGAAGAAAGTATTTATCGCGCTCGAGAAATCGTGCACTCGCACGTTACCCTAGTTTCGCGACAGTCGCGAATGGCCTTTTGCATGGCCATTTTTGGAAGTTTTCGAATAAATTTTTGGAAGTTTTTGGAAGTTTTGTCGTCAGAGATCCTCCTTCAAGGAGGGAAGAGAGGGAGAGGGGGAGAGGGGGAGAAGGGGAGAGCGGGAGAGCGGGGGAGCGGGGGAGCGGGGGAGGGGGAGGGGAGGGGGAGAGGGGGGAGAGGGGGAGAGGGGGGGGGGTTGGTGACAGTGCGAGCGGAGCCCAGCGGAAGCAGGAGGGGCTTACGGAAGCCCGCTTGCTCGCTGACAGGCTCTCTTGTATGGCTTGGTCGAGAGGCTCGGTGGAGATGTGGGCATAAGTTTTTTGAGTAATTAGGGAATTCACAACTAAATTCTTTTTGCACGGCCCGCTGCGGCTGTGCTGTGTGTGGTGCCGCTGCTTTACCAGGCTGCACAGGCACAGGCACTCTTGCAAATCGGCTGCAGCATTGGGTGACGCTGGGTGACGCTGGGTGATGCTGGGTGACGCTGGGTGATGCTGGGTGGGTGGCATACACTGGGTACCGTAGGCCAGGCGGGATGGACGGGAAGAAGTGGGCATGTAGCGAGGGGCGCGCAGGCAGGGGGCGTACAGCAGCAGCACGTGCAGCAGCAAAGCAGCAGCACGCGGTGCTCGCACGGCAGTGCAGCCATGCCGTGCCGCGGCTTGCCTTGGTAAAGCTTCATGACCGTGCTTGCTTCTCCTTTGTGCGCACTCATCCCTTCTCTTGATGCCTGCTTTCGATGCCGCTCTCTCTCTCTCTCTCCCTCTCTCTCTCTCCCTCCCGCCCTCCCTCTCCCCCCCCCGCAGCACAATTTCTATCGCAGCAGGCTCCAACTCCACCCACACTCGCCGGAGCAGCCACAACAGCAACACTGGCAGCACCAGTACCATTACCAGCAGCAGCGGCGGCGGCGTTTGCAGGAGCAGGAGTGATTGCAGCAGCCCCAGCAGTCGCACTCCCCGCTGCCCTCACACACCCTCTTCTCCGCGGCTCCTCTTCTGCCAAGGCTCGGGTCGTTGGAGGCTGGCAGGTGGGGGGCGAGAGGGACGGCAGCACGCGCATAGTGGGGGCTGCGGGTAGCAGAGCAGGAGGAGTGGCGAGTGAAGGGCCAGGAGGGGAAGGAGCAGGTGGAAGAGCAGACACAAGAAGGGGAAACGAGGGGCAGGAGGGGAAGGAAGACGTGCGAGCAGCACAGGAGATGGCGGATGCAGAGGCTGATGCCCGTGCATTTGCTGCAGCAGAGGAGGCTGCTGCTGCTGCTGGCTCTGCTGCTAGTGACCCTACAGGAACTCACGCGGAGGAGGAGGAGGAAGCACCTATGTCACCGCGGTCCCCAGCACCGCTGCCAACAGAGCATGTGGACGTGGAGGAGGTGGAGGTGGCTTCAAAGCAGGAGCTGATCGCCCTGCTGAAGCAGCACGAGGCGGCGCGCACGCGCGTGTTCCTGCTCTTCCTGGCAGACCATGTGCCCTCTACTAACCAGTCCTGGTGCCCTGGTAATGTGACGTGGCCTTTTCTGGGTGTGTATGGTATGGTGATACAGGGAGTATGGTGTGGTGGTGGTACTCCTCGCATGCAAGACAAGCAAGAGTTGGGGTGCGGTGTGTTTTTCGCCCTTGTATGCTGCTACTCTGTTCGCTGTATCGCCATCTCCATCATCAAAGCTATTGCTTCCCGCATAAGAACCACTCCTCGCTTCCCACCCCTTCTCTCCCTCCTCTTCTCCCTTTCCTCTCCCATTCTCACTCTCCCCTTCCTCCTCCGCTCCCCTCCCTCTTCCCCCTGCCCTCCCTCTCCCACTCCCTTCGCTCCTCCCCCCAACTTCCCTCCTTCCCCTCCTTTCCCTACTTCCCCTCCTTCCCCTCCCCTTCCTTCCTTCCCCTCCTTTCCGTTGTTCCCCTCCCCTTCCCATTTCCCATTTCCGCCGCCCCTCTCCCCATCTTTCCCTTCTCCCTCGCGTCCACCCGTGTCTACCAGACTGTCGCAAGTCAGAGCCAGTGGTAGCCACAGCAGTCAGCAACCTCCGCAGCAACCCCATCACAGCACCCGGCCCCACCCCCTCAGCGCTGCTGGTGCGCGTGTGGGCGGGCGATCGACCCACCTGGAAGAGCCCCCTCAACCCCTTGCGCTTCCCCCCGTTCTCTGTCCGTGGCGTGCCCACACTCATGCACTGGGACTGGGCTGCCACCCCTGCTGCTGCTGCTGCTGCTGCTGATGATGATGATGCTGCCCCGGTTGCTGCGCCTGGTGCTGCTGATGCATCGGCTTTGCCTGCTGCTGCTGGTGACAGTGGTGGGGGTGGGGGGGATGGGGGTGTGTTGGGTGCGCCGGGGAGGCAGCTAGGGGAGTATGAGACGCGCAAGGTGCGGCTGGTGATGGAGCTCATGGTGCACGCAGGGCTGTGACATGCAGTGGCATGGCTGTGGGAGAGGAGGGATGGAATGATGCATCATGTTGTGGAAGGTGTTGGTGATGATATGGGGTTGGTGCTGACGACAGTGGCGCTGCTGTCACTGGGGAGATGGAATGGGTAGTGGTACTGAGGAGTGCACTGTGACTGTCTGTCGGCTGGTTGGATATAAACCCTTTTAGTGTTCGTTGTCTAAAGCTACAAGATTTCTCTTCCCTGAATTTTGCTTGATACAGTGGGGTACACACGGTATTTACGCACGGCGGCACGGTACATGTTGATTTTGATAGAAAATAAACTAAGAGTTCAGTTTTGATATAAAGAACTGACAGGCTAAAGCAGGAACGCAATAGGTATGGTGCATGAAGCTCGGGTATTCACACGTGGCATGAATTATGGTACGGTGCCATGCCAACTGTACAACCAACCTGCCCATCAGAGCTCGCCCTGGTAGCAGCAGCCCCAGACAGCAGCCTGCCACTCACACTCCCCTGACCACCACACCAGCACGCAGCAGCTCCCTCCTTGCCCTCTCACTCACCTTCTCTGCTTCCACCTTCACCTGCCGCAACCGAGGGAAGCTTCCCAGAAGCCCTCCATCCCCAACAGCAGTGACACGGGTGCATGCGATGAGAGTGGCGTGAGTGAGAGAGTGGAGAGGGCATGAGAGCAGCACAGCATCGGACATGGTATTGCTGTGCTCTACTCTCAGCTCTACAAGCATCCGGCATGCACGCAGCACTGCCCTCAGCCACTCCTCCCCCATCCCACCGCACTGCACCACTGCCAACCGCCTCAGACCGCCAAACACAGCCGCCAATGTGATGCTCTCAAACGACTGCTGCTGCTGCTGCTGCTGAGCGGCGCGGAGTGAAAGCGCAGGGGGGAGGGAGAGGGACGGGGAGAGGAAGGACGCAGTTGTTCTGGCAAGGGGAGCGCGGGACGGGGAAGGAGGTGCCGAGGGGAGGCTATTGGGCAGGAAGGGCGAGCAGGGAGGAGCAGAGAAGTCCAGCTTTTCCAGCACGAGAGAGTCAAGGCACGGGCTTGTTGCTGCCACCCGTGCTCTGCTTCCCGGCCATCGCTCCTCCTCGTCGTCGTCCTCCTCCTGCTTGTTCTCTCCCTCGCCTTGCTCACCCGGCCTTTCTGCATGTCCACCTGGCATCCCGCCTACAGAGCTGTCCCCTCTTCCCCCTCCTTCCGCCAGGTGCCCCACTGCTTGTGCTCCCCCACGCGCATCACCAGCAGCACCACCAGCAGCACCAGCAGCAGCAGCAGCACCAGCAGCACCACCACCACCACCACCAGCAGCACCACCAGCAGCACCACCAGCAGCACCAGCAGCAGCAGCAGCACCAGCAGCAGCAGCAGCACCAGCAGCACCACCACCACCACCACCAGCAGCACCACCAGCAGCACCACCAGCAGCACCACCAGCAGCAGCACCACCAGCAGCAGCACCAGCAGCAGCAGCAGCAGCAGCAGCAGCAGCAGCATGAGCATGCGGGGCGAGAATGGACTCGAGCTCATCAAACATGGCGAACGATTGCACTCTCAGCCGCTCCACCAGCGAGAGCAGCACCTGCAGCAGCCCCGCCCTTGACTGCGCCGCCACCCTCGCCGACTCCTCATCCACCTGTCCCTCCCATCCCACCCCACGCTCCCCCACCGCACCACCATGCCCATCATGAGAGTCCTCTGCTGCGTGCGGCGGGTCAGAATGTAGGTGTGTGGGCCCAGGGCGACAGCAGAGGCGTACACGGCAGCACACTCCGCGGCCTTGGCAGCGCGGCGCGGCACTCGCGCACGCCTGCGCTCACCGCCTCGCACGCCGCAAACGCCCACTGCATGAGCCGGATCGACTCCTCCGCACCACCACCGCCACTGTCACCACCACCGCCGTGGGAGGAGTCGTGAGAACCGATAGCGTCGCGCGTGTTGGGTGCGTGGTGAGCGTGGTGAGCGTGGTGCGCGTGGTGCGCGTGGTGCGCGTGGTGGTGGTGGTGGAGCGCGAGGTGCGCGAGGTGGGCTTCAGAGTAGGCAGTGGTGAGGTAGTGCTTGGCCGGCCTAAGCAGGTCAAACACGTCCTGGAACGCCGCGTTGCTGGCCGGCTTTCGCTGCTGCCAGCGCTGCGCGTGTGTCTCCATACTCGCACCCCGCACTCGCCCTGCTGCTCCCCCCCCTGCTGCGCCCACCTCGCCCTCTGCTGCTCTCGCTCCTCCTGTTGCCGCCTCTCCACCTTCTCCAGCTCTTCCATTCCCACCTTCGCCTCCCCCCCCTCCCGCCCCCCTTCCCTCCCTCCCACGCTCCTCTCCGCCTCCCCCCTTCCCCGCCCTGGCGTGCACGCGCACGAGCATGGAAAGCAGCCCCTGCAGAGGCCCATGGGAGCAGCGCACAGTGAGCGACCGCAGGCTGCTGCAGCGAGCCAGCAAGAGCGAGAGCGAGGCAGGGCGGAAGGAGGGCAGGACGGAGAGCGAGAGCGTGTGCACCCTGCTTGCTGTCACACGCAGCATGGACGCCAGGCCTGTAGCTCTGAAGAGGCGGTAGCTCTTGCTGCTGAGGGAGAGGGAGCAGAGCGCCGGGTTGGCTCGCACGAGGGCGGAGAGAGAGTGGGCGCAGGCCAGGGGGCAGTCGTGGACTGTGAGGTGCGTGAGCGTGTGGAGTGAACGAGCGAGTGTGTGGAGCTCGTATGGGTTGAAGGTGCAGGCGATGAGAGAGAGCGAGGAGAGGGGGGAGGAGGAGGAGAGGAGAGGCAGGGACGCATCGAGGTCTGCAGAGTGGATTGTGAGGGAGGCGAGGGCGGTGCAGCGCGCGAGGGGGAGGGCGTTCACCGGGACGAGGCGCAGGGTGAGCGCGCGCAGGGCGGGCAGCGCGTGCAGGGGGGGGAGGGGGAGAGGGAGGGGGTGGTAGAGGCGCTTGCTGCGCGAGAGGGCGGGGTCCAGGTCCTACGAGGCGAGGGCGCTGGGGGGAGGGCAAGGGGGGGGGGGAGGGGATGGGGGAGAGGAGAAGGGGGGGGGAGGGGGAGGCAGAGGAGAAGGAGGCGAAGGTGGGCGAGTGTCAGTCGGGCACACGGGAAGGTTCAGAACTACTGGCGACGAAAGAGAGTGGGTAGGGAGGAGGGTACGGCCCCGGGTAGAGAGCTTAGAGGAGGAAAGGAAGGGAGGGGTGGGGGGATTTGCGGTGGGAGGGAAAGAAACGGGGGGTGTAGAGGAGAAGCGGCACTCGCATAGCTTGCTCACTCACGGGCACTCACGGGCATTGCTTGGCGAATTTCGTCCACGCACTCGTGCTCATGTCGAAACCCCCCTGTGCCACCAGCTTAAGACTTTCCAATCTCGGGCAGCCCGCGCCAATACCCTCAAGTAGCTGGTTCCCCAGCCCCCCCGCCAATTTCCATGGTTAAGCTGGTGATGCGGGTAAATACCCTCGAAAAATCGTCAAACTCTTGCAGCCATTCCCGAGGCTGCACGTCGACCAGGAGGAACTCAAGACGGAGCGCGTGCGGCGCGCGTCGTTGCACGGCGCGGAGGCGAGAGCAGGCGAGCGCGATGGCGGAGAGATCGGACGGATGGTCGATGCGCGTGAGGATGTTCTCGAGAAGCTCGTCCGGGAGGGCGAGTAATCGCAAACGGTTACCACGCGCCATGATGGCGAAGTTTGGCGAACGAAGCGTTTGGTTACCAGAGCGGCTCGCACGCAGACCGATGGATGAATTCCGTTACTAAGCGGAGGGGTGAGATTCACGCGCGGCCGAAATGATTTGGAGGAAGATCTGCCACGAGACCGAGGACTGACAAAACAGGGAGAAACGAGATCAAGAACTCGCCACCTGTTTTCCTCGCCTATGTACAACCCGCCCTTCCTCTGACACGCTAATCCTTCCGCAACTGCAAGTGCATAGAAGACCCTCGACCTCGCGATATATCATGCATCATGGTGCTGTTCGCCAGCAAATCGTATTTTGAAATGAAAATGATGGCATCGGCATCGCGACCGCATATGGAAACGGAGGTGGAACCCACCTCCGAGGTTTGGCCGTAATGCCGTTCAGGAAACTTCTGCGCCTGCGGTTGAGAAATTTCTCAACCGCGTCGGGAACCTCCATCCCCACCTTCCCTTCGATCCCTTTTGAACGGCAATGCGACGGCTGTGCCATCGCTGTGCTTTGAAAAACGCAGCATGGCGTTGGCATGAGGGGGGATGGTGTTTTGCCTGGGGACGAAGTTTCGTCCCCGCTTCCATATGCCGTCGAAGCGTTAGATTTGGTGGACAAAAGTGGGCGTTCGCCAGACGCCCACTTTGTTTGTTGGTTTGGACGTGGGTGAGGCTCGGCACTTTTTTCACGGGCTGACCAGGCTGACGGAGGTTAACGAACTCTAACTGACGGGATCAGGAAGGCGAGACCCACCTTCCTGATCCCGTCGTTATCCCGTCGTTTTTTGCTATAATGGTGCTGGCGAACAGCCCCCATATGATGCTGCGCGATACCACCACTTCCATGCCACATGGCGAAACAAGAAAGATTCGCATAGAAAGGAAACCAAACAGGGATTTCATTCTATACATTCACTAGATCTAAATTCATCAAAATGAAGTATGGCTCACCCGAAAGAAACCCTGCAGCTACAATGCAATCCTTTGATTGAAATAATGCCTATGTATGTTGTTAGTACCCACAGTGATCTACACTGTCCTTGATCAGTTCTACCCCTCAGTGCCACTCTTGACCGTGGCTGCTCCATCCAACCATGGGCACTGACCCAGTGGCCCCTTCTGAGGCCGTCCATTCAAACAAAGCACACCCATATATCACCCATCCATCCATGAACAACCATCCGCCCTGACCCCTGTGCACAGCACACTCAGCTATGGCTCCAACTTCCATCCCACCACTCCTCTTCACAGCACTCCCAGCTCCTCAGATCAGGCGGGAGTCTGCGGGCCGAGGCGATAGATGAGCATCTGCTGTAGCACGTCCGTCCACGCGTCCGGCACCCCGGGCAAGCACCAGTGCAGGCAGTCCCACTTGGTCTTGCTATTCTTAGCCGGCCCGTAATACTTCTGCACGTGACCATCCGGCCTCAGAGCCATCATGGCCGTTAGATCCATGTGCTTGATGGTCTTGGAAGCGCGTGCGGCGCGCTTCTCAACGTCGTTGAATGTGACTGCGGACTTGTCCGTGATGGCCATGGTGGGCGGGTACGGCGCGTTGAAGTCGCACGAGGGCGGGTTGGAGGAGCTGTAGTGCGATGGCGTGTAGCTCAGCCAGAGGGCTTGGCCTTTGTACTTGAGCTCGTTGTCCATGAATTGCACCACCTGTTAGGGGGGACAAGGGAGCAAGGGAGAAGGGCGAGAAGGAACGGGTTATGAGAAGTCCAATGATGGCAAGGACTGGGAAATGACGTGCATTGACGTGCTGGAGTGTACATGTGACAGTAAGGCTTTTGTCATTCAAAGTGGAGAGCAGGACTAATTTTCTTCCCAACCGTTGGTCTCCCTCCCCAAAACATGCCCCCTTCCGCTCGAACCCCGCTCCCCCCTGCGCCCCGCGCGACTCACTCGTTTCAAGGTGGTGGCGTACGCGGCGAACCCCGTGGTGGCCGTCACGGTGCGCCCGCGCACGTACGCCAGCGAGCGCACGTCCGTGCGGCCCTGCGACGACAGGAACCAGTGCCCCGACATGAACACCGCCACGTCCACCGATGGAATCACAGCCGTCCATAGCGGGTCCAGCTGGTCCGTCCACACGACATACCCCTGCGCGCCGCCGTTCCCGCCCTCGATCTCCTTCTGCTGCGGCGGCTTGAGCCCGTACTTGGTGAAATCGGCGGGCGAGTTGGAGTAGCGCGCGAGGAAGGGCGAGATGATGGCGAGTAGCTTGATGTTGTAGTTGGGCACGGACAGCCCCGACACCGCCTGCCCGTTGATCGTGCCCGCCCACTCCTGCACCAGCTCGCGCGCGCCCACCTGGCACGCCACGGACTGCTGGAAGTTGCGCGCGATGGAGTCGCCGATGAACGCGATCACCTGGCGCCACGGGGGGAGCGGGGAGCCGGGGGGAGGGGAGTGGGGGGTAGGGGGGGAGGCGAGAGAATGGGCGGGAGGGAAGGGAGAACAAGGGATAGAAGAGGAAGAGTGAGTGCGGCGAGGAGAGGGAAGCGAACGGCTGCTTTGGACGATCTTACAACATCGTGTGTTATAATGACCCAGAACTGCTCGATTTCCGTTTTCTCGCACGGACCTTGTTTCGCATCATGGGCAGGAAAGTGCCAATATCGAAGGCCGGTAGGTTGCAATTGCGGGGCTTCCAGCGGTAGCGCAGGTAGTTGGAGTCGGTGCGGCCGTTGCGCTCGCAGTTAAAGCCCGAGCGGATGAATTTGCAGGAGTTCCCGTTGTAGATGGGCCGGTACGAGTCCACGTACACCCACGCTCCTTTCCCCAGATTGCACCTCTCTGTTAACGGGGACAGGCGATCGTGAACACGCGAACAAGGTTGGGAAAATGGACGGGGTGAGATAGGGGGAGGACGGAGAACCG